GCCGCACAGATGCTCGATAGGGTTTCGGTCTGGAGACATGCTTGGCCAGTCCATCACCTTTACCCTCAGCTTCTTTAGCAAGGCAGTGGTCATCTTGGAGGTGTTTTTGGGGTCATTATCATGTTGGAATACTGCCCTGCGGCCCAGTCTCCAAATGGAGGGGATCATGCTCTGCTTCAGTATGTCATAGTACATGTTGGCATTCATGGTTCCCTCAATGAATTGTAGCTCCCCAGTGCCGGCAGCACTCATGCAGCCCCAGACCATGACACTCCCACCACCATGCTTGACACACTTGTCTTTGTACTCCTCACCTGGTTGTCGCTGCACACGCTTGACACCATCTGAACCAAATAAGTTTATCTTGGTCTCATCAGACCACAGGACATGGTTCCAGTAATCCATGTCCTTACTCTGCTTGTCTTCAGCAAACTGTTTGCGGGCTTTCTTGTGCATCATCTTTAGAAGAGGCTTCCTTTTGGGATGACAGCCCTGCAGACCAATTTGATGCAGTGTGCGGCGCATGGTCTGAGCACTGACAGGCTGACCCACCACCCCTTCAACCTCTGCAGCGATGCTGGCAGCACTCATACGTCTGTTTCCCAAAGCCAACCTCTGGATATGACACTGAGCACGTGCACTCAACTTCTTTGGTCAACCATGGTGAGGTCTGTTCTGAGTGGAACCTGTCCTGTTAAACCACTGTATGGTCTTGGCCACTGTGCTGCAGCTCAGTTTCAGGGTCTTGGCAATCTTCTTATAGCGTAGGCCATCTTTATGTAGAGCAACAATTCTTTTTTTCAGATCCTCAGAGTTCTTTGCCATGAGGTGCAATGTTGAACTTCCAGTGACCAGTATGAGAGAGTGAGAGTGATAACCCCAAATTTAACACACCTGCTCCCCATTCACACCTGATACCTTGTAACACTAACGAGTCACATGGCACCGGGGAGGGGAAATGGCTAATAATGCCCAATTTGGACAGTTTCACTTAGGGGTGTACTCACTTTTGTTGCCAGTGGTTTAGACATTAATGGCTGCGTGTTGAGTTATTTTGAGGGGACAGCAAATTTACACTGTTATACAAGCTGTATATTCACTACTTTACATTGTAGCAAAGTGTCATTTCTTCAGGGTTGTCACATGAAAAGATATAATAAAATATTTACAAAATGTTGAGGGGTGTACTCACTTCTGTGATATACTGTACATACAGATTCTCTCTCTCCCTTCCGTACCTGTAGTTACTTTATTATTATCATATTATTAGCATTATTATACTGCTATGTTGTGTTGAATGAATATGGAAGTGTTTCTTAAGTGTTTTATATGCATAAAAAGGTTTTATACACACACACAGAGTAAGACAAACATTTGGCATACTCGTCCAATTTACATACAAATTCACTACATTAAGGATGTTCTCAGGAGCAGAACTTGTCCATAACCCAGTGACTACTTGTACTCAGTTATATTTCATTAAATATTGTGGGGAAGGGACTTGCAGTACCTCTCTCTTTTATTGCATATACTGTATAGATGCTGAGTGAGTCTTTCATAGGATAAATAGCTCTTTTGCTCTTTCTGCTGTCAGTTTTCTTATTCTGTAGATAAGAACATGGATAAGACTTACTTGAAGTCCACTTGCCCCCCCCCCCACTTAGTTGCTAACATAAACATAGGTTCAATTCATTGCTAATATAAGCCTAGGTTTAAACAGTTGCTTACACAAGTCTAGGTTTAAGTAGGGTAAAAAATCTCCTTCTATTCAATTTATGCTTGTGTATAGATATGTGAGGAAGAGAATGTAAGAACATAAGGAGAGCCATATTGGATCAGAACAAGGTCCATTAAGTCCTTTATTATGTTTACACAGTATCAAGCCAGCTGCCCATGCAGTGCCACAAGCAGGAATAATTTGGTGTCATCAGCAAGCATGGCCATATCACTGCTCACTCCTCATTCCAGATAATTTATGAGCACATTGAAAATCATTGGTTCTGATACAGATCCCTTTGAGACCCCACTGTTGACATCTGTCCATTGGGAGAATTAAAATTCTTCCCTAGTTCTTGTTTCTTAAGCAGTTACTTGCAGATAAGAGGACCTCTTCTCTTATTCTATGACTGCTAAGTGAAGCCTTTGGAAGCCCATGTAAACATTGTCTCCTAGATCATTACTATTCATTTGTTTATTGACGTGCTCAATGATCAAAATTTATTAGTGACGCATGAGTTCATTCCTGTCAGTTTTCACCTCAGGTTCAGTTTAAAAGCTGCTCTTCTGCCCTTTTTATGCTACTTGTCAGCAGTCCTTTTCCATCCTGGCTCAAGTGGAGCCCATCCTTCTAGTTCAGGCCCAGCATGTCACACTTTGTTCACAAATCTTGCTTAACAAATCTTAAGCACCCTAACAATATCATCCATGTACTGGGACTCCTTAGTTTCACCTGTCTAGCTGGCCCTGGATCAGCTAGCGATTCAGAGAAAGCTACCTTGGTGGTCCTGGGATCACTGGATAATTTGCACCACAGCAGTAGGAAAATGGAAATAGTGTTTCACACTGTCATGTTTGACTGATGCCTCAGTGGGTGAATTGTGGTCAGGATGCCTGCCTGCCTGCCTGCCTGTTTTTCTTCAGTGCATCTGTTACTAATTCAATCCTGAGAAGATGTTTGATTTTGTACCTCCTGTGCTGTTTTCCTGATCTAATTGCTTCCCCCCTCCCCATTGCCCCCGCTGAAGCTATGTGCAAGGAGTGGGAAGGGGCAGGTGTGCCTTTTTCCCAAAATGAGAATACCCATGTGTAAAAGGCATGTGGTCTGTTTAGGGGAGCAGAATAGCAGAGCAGCCAAAGAATAAGAAGAACCCTTCTGTAATAAGAAAATTTATATTTTTTTCCCTCTTCAGGAAAAGATCTGTACTCTTACATGAATTCACAGCTCTTCTGTTCTTTCATTCATGACATTTCTATACTGCCCAGTAGCTGAAGCTCTATAGGCAGTTTACAAAGATTAAAATACAGTATACATGGTATAAACACCATTTACGAATAGAATCATTTAAACAGACAGCACACATGTAAACACACATATATTTAAATATTTTTAAATGAGTAAGGCAAATCTAGTACCTAATGAAAACCTCATCATATGCTGCCAAATGCCTCAGAAGAGGCCAAATGCCTCAGAAGAGGAAGGCACCAGAGAGGTAAGAATTAAGGCACCAGTAGGGCTTCCTAGGGGAAAGTGTTTCATAAACAGACAGGCCACACTGTTACACTGCTCATGTGATAAGATCACATAAATGTGCAGTTATTTGAGCACATTGGCTTATCATGCAAATTGAGAAAATTTTAAATTTGAAGACTAACAATTGCCATTTAAAGAAGGAGAAAAGCTAAGCTATGTGTGATTTAGCAAGAGGGAATTACCAGATCAACTCTACTCACTGGTCTATAAATAAGTTTGCTAAAAACTACTTTGGTGTAATTTGATAAAGTCTGCATGAGAACATTGTGTAAAATGAGGGTGTTTCAGGTTACACAAGAAGATACCATCTCATAGAATAGTAGAGTTGGAAGGGGCCATGCAAGAAATCAACCAGTGTATGATGAAAGCTGAAAGTAAAATCATGAAAGGAACCACATTCTGTTGTCAGTTTATCAACCTGAGTAGGCATAGCAGAGATGGTCTTTAAAACAGTAGCAACAACATTTACATGCGATAGATAAATCCCCACTGGCATCCCAGATGCCAAGGCTTCATGTTACTGTACAAGGAGTACATGAAAGAAGAACTAGCCATGTAGAGAGTACAGATAAAAGAATGCAGTGATTTTAGCATCTGATCTAGCAACACACTAATGATAAAGTGGATGGTCCTGTCCCAACTAGTACAAGCAGTTGGTACAAGCACCCTGTTCAGGGATGTGTTGTATGGCTAGAGTCAGAGCCAAAACATGCATAACTGGGTTGAACTACAAGAGTCCTCAGTTTTGTTAACTTTACCAAGGAACAGTAGCAAATACTAAACTGAAGTGTAGGTGTTTCACTAAATATTGAAATGAAAACTGTCACCATAGGAATGCCCTTACAGAAATCTAGAATGCAACTGCATTTGGAATTCTTGTGCAGTTCTGGCCACTAGGCCTCAGTGAGTAGGGGTAACAGATGACAACAGATGCTTTTGGATAGAAGAGTACTAGTACTGTCAGTCAGAAGGCATTCTGCAACTATTTTCTCATTTCCTTCTCAAGAATTTTTTTCATGGTAAGAAAAAGGGTGGAACAAGTGATGTGAGAAAACACAGGAAGGATAGAAATGGAAGGCAACTATAGAGCCACTGTAAAATTCTGTAAATGAGGTGAAGCAGTTGTGCAATAAACATCTTGGATAGAAGCACCATGGGACAAATGTGGGGTTTTTTTCTGCTTCTTCCTGGATCTAAGAAGCTGTAGTCAAGACTGGGTTTTGCAATGCTCTTCTCCAGCAAAGAAACTTTAGTTGAGGCAGGGAGCTTCAGGATGTACCTGACTCAGCCAAAGGGGCTACTGTGACCGCTATTCCATGAAGGCAAGGGGCTTCTTTCCCCTCTGCTTTTGCTCACAAAGGCATTGTGATAGACTGAAGGGAACTGAAGCAAGCAGCAGACTCTGAGACTGACGTCCACTGCCACCCTTGCCTGGGGGTCCTGAGGATAGTACTGAGGCACAAGTCCTTGTCTCCAGCCAGGTTGTATGAGTGCAGATGATTCCCAATAACTTCCTCCAAAGAGGAGGGAGTAGCACCTTCTGAGGTGACTAAATCCTATCTTCCCAGAGCTGAAACTCCCAGAGCATCTGCACATGATAGAATCTGTTTGCTAATAGAGACAAAAGGAGTCTGAAGATAATCATTTTCAAATCTCTCTCAACAAATCTATTTGCTCCTGACAGTGATTATCTACGTTCTTAGTGATGAAACTCCTTTCCTTAAACATTCTGGACTATTTTTGCCTACAGCATGTGGATGTGACTTGGCTCAAGGAGGATTTTTTGTGAGACAAGGAGATTATATCTGTACTTTGGACTATCAGCGACTCTATGGCACACGGTGTTTCAGCTGTGATCAGTTTATTGAGGGAGAAGTGGTTACAGCGCTGGGGAAGACCTATCACCCACATTGTTTTGTGTGTGTGGTTTGCAGGTAAGTTTTTTTTCTTAACGAAACACTTACTGTGATATATTTTTCCTTTTCAAAAGAGGTGCACCAAATAATTTAGGTCAACTCCATAAATGATTCGGCTCATCATATTTTCTTTTAAGGTAATTTTAAAGGATCTGCAACAGGTTCTTTAATCTGCTTTTCTCCATCTTACCCACACAGGTACCCTTTGCTATATGGTGTGATGGAGACTCTCTCCTGCCACCTCCAGCCTTTATGCAAGAAGGGGGGAGGGGACAGAAAATTGTCCTTGCAAAGCAGCAGGGCCTAGCCTCCTGCAGTATACCTGTCATTCTGGATTCTCCTATCATGCAAGATGGGCTTAGTCTACAGGAGCTTGTTTTGTTTCCACCCTCTGCACAGGTGAAAGGTCACTCTGCACAGGCTGTGTCTTCCTCAGCAGAGTTGTGCTAGTACCGCAACTCTGTGCCACAGCCATCGGGGCCACCCATCCATGTTCATCAGCCACTGCAGCTTAGACATCAGAGCCTGGAAATAGGCATCTTTGGGTAGACTGTTCTTTTCTCAGTCCTAGTGTGGCATCTTTCTCTAGCAGTATGTCCTTAGTTTTATAATTGCCAATATGTATGGGTCACAGGGACCATGAAGGAGGTCACATTGCTTATCAGAAACCATTGTTCTTCAAATGGTCATCTGTGAACTCACACAGCTCACCCTCATCCCTACTTCTTTGTTTCGTTTTCACTTTCCCACAGTGCTGGACATGGGACTGAGATACAGGCAGGAGCCAAGCCCAGAGCACGCACAGGGGAGAGGGTGGGGTGCCTGCCTAGAGCACGCTTTTGCTCTAGAACATTCCGTGCTCTGCACAGGTGCATAACCCCATATGTGAGCTCACAGATGACTGCTTGAAGAACCACAGTTTCAGGTAAGCAACCTGAGCTTCCATTCCACTCCACATAAATATCTTCCTGCAGACCTTGCTGCAGATTGTGTAGGAAAATGTTACTCCAAGGAATACTCCATCTCTGGGTTCAGGTTGCCAGTTTTCAATATTTGTTTCACAACTTGTTTGCCTTCCTCCTAGTCCTACCCACCTTTTTTAGTTTTAAAATCCTCCACTCGAACAGAAGCTGTACTTTGCTGATAATAGGAGTCTGAGAGCCAGAGAGATGTAGATGAGAAGAAAGGGAGAAATAGAAGTGTTGCCCTTGCATATATGTTGGGGTGCAGTTCGTATCACCCAGCTCTAAATAAGTGTTTGAAACTTCAAATCAACATGCCCCAGGGGGCATGCTTCATATTGCAGCCTTAAGTCTCTCATACCAATGTATCTGCTCCAAAATCACATTGTGTATTTTGGAAGAGCCTACAGGCCATTTTTGGTACCCTAGTTCTTTTCCAGGTAGTATTCACATGCTCCTTCAGTTTTGCCTTTTGAATGCTGTACTTTCAAATTGGCTGGTTGGATTTGTCAGCTGGGGATGATAAGAAGAGCATAAACAAAAGAAATAAATAATCCCCTGTAACAAGGAATGCCGTTCAAAGACTGCAAAGATATTCATTTTCTAATATATTTATTTTATCTTACTGCAGACAGCCTTTTCCTCCTGGAGACCGTGTAACATTCAATGGCAAAGACTGTGTCTGTCAGAAATGCTCTCTGCCATCTACGGGCAGTAATGGCAATTTTCCAGTTCTCCGGAGTAAGTTATTCAGGGCTTCTCTACATGAAGCATTTGTCATGCAATCAAGTTTACAGGGGCTTTTCACAGTCCTGTCACCCCCAGGGCCTCTCCTGTGCTTTCCAGGCATTTTTGCAGGATTTGTTTTAGAATAATGAAACTCTGGTATTAAATTTCAAACTGAGCTAAAGTTGCAAATCCGCTATACTGTACCTATACCATAGCACCCCTTTGAGGTTGACTAATAGAATATATGCAAAACAGAGGAACCTAAACCCCAGGAAGAGACCTCCAGTAAAGAACACATTTTTCCTTCTGTAATGGAAACAGAAGAACCTTGCATAAAACTGGGTTAAACCCCTCATGCAAAGATACCCTTATTCTTTTAACCTACTATCACTGGCTCTTTTTTGAACAACTAAAATTGCATCCCAAAATTCTTCTTAAAATTTTAACTGCAATTTCTAGCTTGATGGACTCTGAATATCTTAATATTTACTGGATGTTTAATATTTAAATAGTTATTCCATTAAATAACTTCAAAATGGGAATTGTAGATATCCTTATTATCTGCCAAAGATATCATGTAGAAGCATTAGGAAGTTGAAAAATGTGAATAAAGTCACATCAACATGTTAAATATTCCACATTTCAGGGGCAGGAGTAGCTATACAAAACTGTGTGCTTCCTCCGTATGTAATATATTTATGAATTTGAAATGGAGGACAGTATTTGGCTATATAAGGAGTTAGTGATGTGTTAGTAAGGTGTAAGAAGCAGTTATTCCATGGCTGAAATATATCCAGTATTTGTTGTTTTCAAGGCTATCTGTGGTTTTATGGTCCTGAATGAATGCAGAAAGCCAGTTAATTAAAGTATATTTATTTTTCTGTAGCCTCATCAATGATGCATAAAGTATATTGTTCAAAAAGTCCCTTTTCTTCTTTTTGCAGCTTGTGGGGACTGTGGCTCCGAGATAAAAAATGGGCAGTCTTTGGTAGCTTTGGACAAACACTGGCATGTAACCTGTTTTAAGTGCAAGATATGTGGCAAACTTCTGGATGCTGAATATATCAGCAAGTAAGTAAGGAAGTGAATTTCAGCTACATTTAAGACATTTCTCAGCATTGTGTTACAAGTTGTGATCCGAAATTTACAATCTAGATGAGACAATACATCTGTGGAATGTCAGCTGTTCTTTATTTAGATGTCTGAAATGTTGTTTAGTGTGAAACAGTTGCAACATGGATGCAGGCACAGTGAACAGAATATGCTGTGCATCTAATAGTTTCCCCTGTATTTCACAGCATGCCCTCATTCATGGGTTTCCCATATTTTTGTGACTGTTAAGTGTCTATATCTCATTCCAAAGGCATCACAGAAGGCGCATTCCTCCAACCCATCTCAGCTTCTTTGTTTACTCCATTGAATGGGGTGCTCATGACCTCTCAATGCTGTCAGCTTCTCACTCACCATACAGTTGCTGCTTTTTGATGCCAAGTCAGTTATTAATACCACTGCTGTAATGCAGGACATAGCCATAGATGAAGAAGCTGGTTTTGTCTTTTCAAAACCTGGCTGAAAGAGGCATTGGTTCCTATCTTAGTACAATTATTTGCAGCTAAGTAATCAGAGCAGTGCCAGTGTGAGGTTGGAAGGGTCCTTGGAAATCTGCTTGTCCAATTCATGCAGCCCTTGCATTATACACTGTGCCTTCAGCATCCTGGACACATAGCTGACCAGACTCTGTTTAAATATATCAAGTGAAGGAAAGCTTACTACCTCCAGAGGTACTAGGAAATGTTTTCTAATCTTTAACTGGTACCTGTCTCCCTCCTATTCCCATACTTTGCATCAGAATATGTGAAGCAAATGTTAGTGTTATGAACCGGGAACTGGTTAAAGTACAGAAACTAAAGGCACAGAATGGCAGAGTTTGGGAGGGGGGCTATGAGGCCACCTGGTCCAATCCCCTTCTCAAAGAAGGACTCCAAACTAAAGCATCCCTAACACATGAATATTCAGCTTCTTCTTGAATGCCTCCACTGTGGGATGGGGGGCACCACATCCCTAAAATGAATAATTATTGTAATGCTAAGATGCAATCAGAGGGGTCGCCCAAGGATCTGTACTGGGACCAGTGCCTTTAAACTTCTTCATAAATGATCTGGAATTGGGAATGAACAGCCAGTTGGTGAAGTCTGTACACCCATATTGTTTAGGGCGGACACTGATGCACTCCAGATAGATTTCTTAAAACTAGGCAAATGTTCACTAAAATGGCAAATGTGGGTCAATGTAAGTAAATGTAAATCAATACACATTGAGGTAAAAATCCAGTCAATGTGTGCACTGATGTTAACATGTGAGTACTGAGTGTTTTCTTTGTTTCAGAGATGGTGTTCCATACTGTGAAATGGACTATCATGCTAAATTTGGCATAAGATGTGACAATTGTGAAAACTATATCACAGGAAGAGTTTTGGAGGTAAGACAACTCCCTGCAGTTAGTGTATTGGTCCTAAAAATGTAAATAGCCACATTTTTCCATCTTTGGGACTCATTGTTTCTCTATCACCTAATAAGCAGGGCTGTAGTATTTCATTATCCTTTAGAGATGGATCTATTCAAAATGTATCCTAAAATTACTTCAGGGATTAAAGAGTAGGCTGTGCACAGTTTCACAGCTGAGTTGGCATCTAGTACTGCATTACTGTAGAGGTGATTTAGTAACAAACTTTATAAGTTTGGTTGGTTTAAGACTACCTTGCACTTCAAAATGTTGGTGCAAATTCTATAATAATATATATATTTCTGTAATATTACCTTGAGCCTGTTGCTAATCAAGCACATTTCTATGATGTTCACATAATTATGAAGTTTCTGTCTGCCCCTGAAAACTCCCAGCCCTTGTCCCATCCCTCAGGCAGCCATCTTGCATCCAGCACCACTATAATTTTACCAGTTGTGTCTGAAGCTCTGGCTCTAGTGCTCCCAGCTGGACTGTTTCCCAGTCTCACTTTCAAGCCTCACTCCAGGTGCATCTGCACCTGCATTGGCAGGAATGTATCCATAATTTGGCTGAACCCCACCCCAGGTGGAAAAGGCTAAATAATCCCAGTAGTCTTGACAGTTGTTGACAATTTTTATTATAGTACCTAAATCAGCATCCTTTAACCTAGTGCCTGGCAGATGTTCTGGACTACAATTCCTAGCATGACTGCCCACTGACAATGCTGTTTGGAACTGATCGGGTGCTATCCAAAACTACAAGGGTGGGGAAGACTGACCTAAACAAAGTCTAAAGGGTTGCAGACACCATGGATACGTGCAGAGAGTGTTATTCTTCTGCAGGTTGGAGTGTTCTAGCCCTGAATTCTTAGGACTGTGCTACCCCATTTGCTGTTGAGCTTGAAAATTTTATTTTTTAAAAAACAGGTTCTTTCTTTCCAGTGTGTCAGCTGCAGAATAAAACTGCTATCCTATAAGGGACTAAGCTGCATTTAATTAAATGGGGCTTACTTCTGAGTAGATTTGCATAGGATTGGCTTGCAAGAGATCTCAATTTTGGACAGACTATGTGTCACCTCCACTCTCTTTTATTCCAAAACAGGCAGGAGATAAACACTACCACCCAACTTGTGCACGATGTGTGAAGTGCAACCAGATGTTTGCAGAAGGAGAAGAAATGTATCTTCAAGGTAAAGAGCAAATTTTTTAATTATTGCTCTGATAAAATCAGCCAACTCAGTTGTAACCACATTTATTTTGGTGATGGCTTCTGTAAATACAGATTTATTTTTATTTATTTATATTATTATATTATTGCTTTACATTGGAGCCCTGCGGTAAAGAAATAACTCAAGTTAACATTTAGATGTCTTCCCATGATGGTAGTAGTGAGAAATACAGCTGCTGTTGCTTTGTGATACGTAGCTGAGCAGCCATTCTGCCCTGAACTACGGCCATCTAAAAAGACAAATAAGTTGTTCACACTTGGAATTGGACTATAGGAAAGAGGAGTTGCTGTTCTGCATTTGATATAGCATACTGGTTATTCTCCACAACTCTGGTCAAGTCTAACAATTCACATGTAATACATGACTGTGTGCCATGTTTTGATACATTTTTCAGGGTTTTTTTTCCTGCACTGGAGTATTTTACAGACTCTGAAAAATTAAGAATGCTAACTCTGATTTTTCAGGAACTTCCATTTGGCATCCAACCTGTAGACAGGCAACCAAAGCTGAGGAAAAGGCCAAGGTAAAAATTGTCCAAATTAACATATATTTCATTTTCTTTCATATTCTGCTTAGGCTGCTAGGCATCTTTAGCTTCTTTATGTCAAGAACAGAGCTGTGAAGAAAAATCAGGATGAATTGTTGCCCTTTTTTTAGATTTTTTCACTGGAAAAATTTTATGGTGGTGGAACTATCTTGTGAAATGTTCTTTTTTGGAATGATGAGTTACATACTTTTAAAAACATTTTTAACAGAATATTGTTCAAACCTATTACACTGCTGTAAAACATCTAACTTTAAAGCAATGGAGTCTTTACTGACTATTTTTAGGCTCACTGAGTGGCTGTAACATCATATAAAACAAGATCTGTCAGTATCAGATATCATTAGGGCCCTGTGGTAAATAAGAACACCCTCCTGTCAAAAAACCCCCAAGCAATGTTAATCTATTGTACATTGACAGAGTTGAAGACAATGCTGCAATGTTTTAAGTAAATGAAATTTTCAATTCCTAGATTTGCAGTAATATCCCAAATGGTTGCTGAAAGTTATCACCCATCCACTGGGGAAGACAGGGGAAGAAAAAGATGATCCTGTTGGACCAACAGTGCAAAATGGCCCAACACCATGAAGTTCAAAACTACTGTAACACAATGAGCAGTAAGAAGCTATGCAATGGTATAGCACTTCAATAGCAAGTCAGTTAAAAAAAGGTTCTCACAATTGCAAGGATGGTGTACATCTGCACATATATGCTTCTGCTTTATTTTTTAATAATGTTTTTAAATAGCAGGTGAGAGCATAAGAATTCCAAAATCCCCATTCTTGTGATTGTGGCTTAAGCTCTCTATTTGAGTTTAGCAATACATTCCAGTTGCGAATTTCAATAATTTCAAGAGGTTTTGAACTTTTTAAAAAATAGAACTTAATAAGATATGGTCTAAATTTTTGATTTCAGTTGCAGGAAACTAGGACATCATCTGAGAGCATAATTTCAGTACCTGTTTCAAGTGCTTCAGGGTCTCCAAGTCGAGTGATTTATGTGAGTAGTCATACTAAAGCAAAGAAAATAAGTGGAAATAATAGAGAGTAGATGGAAGAAAATTATGTTCTGAAACTGCAATGTTTTTCTATAAAATTAAAAAAAGTTTAATGAGCATCTGCACAAACAGCTTGTACTTTAAAGCTAGAATCTCAGCAATCATTCACAGGTAAGGACCACAGGCTGGTCTGTGACCAACAATTTGGAAATGATCTGAGAGTAGCAAGGGATGATAAGAACATCAAGAAGCCTTCTTCAGATACAAAACAAAAGTCATGTGGAAGATGAAAGTGTCCAGCTACTGAAAGTGGATGGCAGAGTGATAACAGGAGGCAAGGAAAAGACGGAAACATTCATTCCTACTTTGATTTAGTCTTTTCCCACAAGAAAATCTACAACAAAGAGGAAGTGCAAGCTGAAAGTGAGAGATGGCAGCACAAAATTGACAGAGGAATACTTGGATGAAATAGACACATTCAGAACTCCAGGGCTGATGAACTCCATCCCAGAGTCATAGAAGAGCTAGCAGAGGAACTCTCAGAATCACTGGCCATTATCTTCAATAAATCCTTGAAAACAGGAGAAATGCCACATGACTGGAGAAGGGCTGATGTTGTCCCCATCTGCACAAAGTGGGGGGAAATGAACCTGGGAAATACAGACCAATCAGTCCAACATCAATCCCTGAAAAAATTCTGGAACAGATTATTAAAAAATCAGTCTTCAAACACCTCTCAGAAAATCCAGTGATTAATAAAAGTTGACATGGATTTATCAAAAATAAATCCTGTCCAACTAATTTAATCTCATGTTTTGACTGGGTAACCTCCCAAACGAACAGAGGGAACACTGTGAACATAATCTACCTTAACTTTAGCAAAGCTTTCCACATAGTGCTGCAGAAACATTCTGATAAGTGAATTAGCAAAAAGTGAAGTAGATAGCAAAATCTATTAGGTGGAGCCAAAATTGGCTGCTAAATTGAACACAAAGAGAGCTTATCAATGGCACCTTCTCAAACTGAATGGAAGTAACTAGTGGGGTGCACAGGGTTCAACCCTAAGTCCTGTGCTCTCTAACATCTTTATTAATGATTTGGATGAGGAAGTGCAAGGAATGATAATCAAATTTGCAGATGAGACAAAATTGGGAGGAATAGTGAATATCCTAGAAGACAGAATGAAGATCCAGGACAATCTTGATTAACTTGAATGCTGGGCTGAAAACAGAATGGGTTTCAATAGGGACAAGTGCCAAGTCCTTCACCTAGGAAAAGGAAACCAAATGCATCGATACAAGATAGGGAATGCATGGCTTAACAGAACTGAAAAAGAAAAAGACCTAGGGCTTATTGTGGATAACACACTAAATATGAGAAGGCAACAAAAATGATGCAGGGTTAGGAAACACTGCCCTATGAGGAGAGACTGAGAGAACTGGGCATGTTCAGCCTTGAGAAGACAAGACGGAGGGGGACATGATATCACTACATAAGTACCTCAAAGGCTGTCACAAAGAGGAAGGTCAAGATCTCTACTGATTCCAGAGTGTAGGACATGGAATAATTAATTCAAATTATGACAACCCAGATTCAGGCTAGATATCAGGAAAAGCTTCCTCACTGTCAGAGCAGTACGACAGTGGAACCAGTTGCCTAGTGAGGTGGTGGGCTCTCCCACACTAGAGACATTCAAGATGAAACTGAGCAGCCATTTGAGTGAGATGGTGTAAATTGGTGTCCTGCAACAGCAGGGGATTGGACCCAATGACCTTCATGGCTCCTTCCAACTCTACTATGATTCCATGAATTTCTCTTTTACTGGATTGAATTTGTTTGCTGTCTCTCATTCAACTCATGGTAGTCTCCAGGTATTCATTCAGTGTCTGATTCTTACTCCTGAATCACTAGAATGGAAGAAATACACGTTGCGTATTATCAGCAAATTGATGACATTGATACTTCATGCTTCCATGTGAACAAACATAAATATTTTAAAAGTATCATTGACAGGCTGAAATACTGCCTGAGAGTGTTTTCTTGAAACCAGTCAGTGGTGAAGGAAAAATTTCCTGCAGGAAAAATTGTGGCTGCCAACTTTTGAGATTTTGGTGAGCATCTCCCCAGCTGATGGCCTTGCTTTCTTTTGTGCCTACCCTGAAAATATCTTGTAGCTAGTGACATCACTAGTTTTTCAGGTTGTGTGTGTGTCATTTCTTCATTTTGAGTAGCAAAAAGTGGAGGCATAAAGTCTTTTGGGTAAGAATAAATCTGGAAGTAGACAATTGTAGCTTATGTTTTTGTTGTGCTGATGCAGCTAAAGAGAGAAATATAATCAAATTGCCCAGAAAACTCCTTGCTGGGAGGTCATTATTTTTTCACATCCATAGTACCAAAAGTGTATTGTGATATTTCTTTTGTTGGTTGCCCTGTCTCAACTATGCTTTCTTTTATTTCTAGGCAAAACTTGGAGATGAAATCCTTGATTACAGAGATTTAGCTGCACTTCCAAAGAGTAAGGCCATCTATAACATAGACCGCCCAGATATGATCTCCTATTCTCCATATATCAGCTATTTGACAGATGACAGGCACAGTTATGGGGAGGTACTGATTTTATGTATATATGGATGTAGGTATGTATGTATGGGTGTGTGTGCGTGTGCATATGTGTATGTGAGTGCTGTTATGCTCAAGTATTTAATTCAAAAAGCGTGTTTCCTATGAATACATTTATGCCTACATGTCATAAGTAATGGGAAAACCCTTGCAAAACGTGACTTCAGAATATGTAGCCAAGTAAAAAGCACATCATATTTTGGTTATGCATTTGCATCTATAGTGTGGAAACAGTACATAGGTAGTTTTTTTGTTTAGTAGATCCCCTTCCGTCTGTCTTTCCACAAAGCTATTCTTCATGTCATCTGTGTATATAGGCCTTTTGCTGTATATAATAAACAGTTGCAGTAAGGTATGTTAAGTAACGTTTTATAAAAGACAAAACAATTCTGCAGGAATGTTTATCTTTCAGCTCATTTCATCACACATTAGGAAAACTTGAAAATCAAGTCATTACATATGCCAAGGTCATTGCAGCACAGAATGGACTGTTTCTTAAGGGATGCAATGGCAGCAGATTCCAATACCAGGCCATAGTCCTTGTCATCAAGCAGACCCAGGAAATGTTTATTGTAATATTTGCATTGCATGTATTAATGAAATGTATATCACACTTTCCCTCAAGGGAGCTCAGGGTATGTGCGTCAGCTTTTGTGTACCACACATATGCCTAGGAGCTGCTTCAAGCCAGACCTGGTTAGCTTTAGCAAAGGTGTTGTAAAATAATCATAATCTATCATAAACTATGCCCTGTCTTATTTGCCTATCCAGACAGCAGGCATCTAATATAAAATGAATAGCACAGGGCAGTGCTGCTGAAGAACAGCGACAACTTGTTTACAATTTAGCATCAATTATTTTTCTCACAGTAAAGAGATTGCAAGCTGGACCAGAGACCCCTTCATCTCAATGCCCTGGTAAAGTGTACCCTTTTCAACCACTTGCCTCTTGTATATGGAAGACTGTTTCATACATACATGTATGCACACCTCTTTATTCCTGGACTTAGCATTCTTTTACCCATGATGGTTGACAGCTGAGCATGTCAGAAGAACTGTGACTGAGACAATACTAAGTATTTATTACATATATATCCCATCTTTCCTCCAAGGAGCCCAAAGCAGTGCACAAGGTTCCCTGCTTCACCCCACCTTTTTCTAACTGTGAGGTGTAGACTAGGTTGAGAAATAGTGACTAATAGTAGGAGTAACCCTAATCTGTTGTCATATGGTGGGAGCCTAATGCCATCCAATTGACCAGAGGGTTCATTAGAGGAATACAAAACTGACTATGGTAGAAGATCTAAATCATTGTTGAAAAGACCAAAGTGTAGTACAGGTCAGCAAATAAGCTTGATGATACAAAATCCAAAAAACGTAATCCACCTTCCTTAATATTGACCACCAGGTTGAGACATCATGTTCAGTCACTACCACAGGGGATAATAGTGGATTGCTGAGTAACAGCAGAAGAGGTGGGTGTGCAGCTTTCTCCTGCCCATGTACAGTAGCCCTTCATTTCTTAAACCAGTGTGAGGTTTTTGTAGCATTCAGCTGGAAGTGGGGAGGGAGGAACCTTGAGTGCAATTACACCCTGGCAATCTTATGAAGCCCTTATATAAGCACACATAGAAGGAAATGGCAACCCACTCCAGTATCTTTGCCATGAAACACCCATGGACAGTACCAAAAGGCAAAAAGATATGACACCGGAAGATGAGCCCTTCAGGTCGGAAGGTGTCCAATATGCTACTGGGGAAGAGTGGAGGGCTAGTACTAGTAGCACCAGAAAGAATGAAGCGACTGGGTCAAAGTCGAAAGGACATTCAGTTGCAGATGTATCTGGTGGTGAAAGGAGAGTCTGATGCTGTAAAGATCTATACTCCATAGGAACCTGGAATGTAAGATCCATGAATCAAGGCAAGCTGGATGTGGTCAAACAAGAGATGACAAGACTGAACATTGACATCTTAGGAATCAGTGAATTAAAATGGACAGGAATGGGTGAATTTAATTCAGATGACCATCAGGTATACTACTGCAGGCAAGAATCCCTCAGAAGAAATGGAGTAGCCTTCATAGTCAATAAATGAGTAGGAAAAGCAGTACTGGGATACAATCTCCAAAATGACAGAATGATCTCAGTTCGAATCCAAGGCAAACCATTCAACATCACTGTAGTCCAAGTCTATGCCCCAACCACTGGTGCTGAAGAGGCTGAAGTTGACCGGTTCTATGAAGGCCTACAACACCTTCCAGAATTAACACCCAAAAATGATGTCCTTATCATCATAGGGGATTGGAATGCTAAAGTAGGAAGCCAAAAGATAACCGGAATAACAGGCAAGTTTGGTCTTGGAGTACAAAATGAAGCAGGGCACAGGCTAGAATTTTGTCAATAGCATACGATGGTCATAGTAAACACTCTCTTCCAACAACCCAAGAGATGACTCTACACATGGACATCACCAGATGGTCAACACAGAAATCAGATTGACTATGTGCTCTGCAGCCAAAGATGGAGAAGCTCTATACAGTCAGTAAAAACTAGACCAGGAGCTGACTGTGGTTCAGATCATAAGCTTCTCGTTGCAAAATGTAGGCTTAAATTGAAGAAAGTAGGGAAATGCACTAGGCCACTCAGGTATGACCTAAATCAATTCACTGAGTGCCAGAGAATTGAGGCCTTTGAATGGTGGTGCTGGCGGAGACTCTTGCGAGTCTCTTGGACAGCAAGATGATCAAACCGGTCAGTCCTAGAGGAGATCAACCCTGACTGCTCTTTAGAAGGCCAGATACTGAAGATGAAACTCAAATACTTCGGCCACTTAATGAGAAGGAAGGACTCCCTGTAGAAGAGTCTAATGCTGGGAACAATAGATGGCAAAAGAAGAAGGGGATGGCAGAGAATGAGGTGGCTAGATGGAATCACTGAAGCAGTCGGCATGAGCTTTAGTGGACTCCAGGGCATGGTGGAGGACAGGAAGGCCTGGAGGAATGTTGTCCATGGGGTCGCGATGGGTCAGACATGACCTCGCAACTAACAACAACAAACATGTTTTAAAAAATGGCTCTTTACAGCACAATCCTATGCATGTCTATTCAGAAATAAATCCTCCCACTACAGTTTATTTCCAGGTAAGTAGCATATTGTAGCTTCACTTGCTGCAGCATACATTTTACATCAGTACAATTATAATGCACAGTAAAAATCCTGAAATATTTTTTCCAGCTACCAGGGTACCAATTTAGTATTGTTAACAGTAATCCAATAATAAATTGAACTATTTGTAGTTATAGTTGACATATCTTTAGAATAGGACAAAATACCTCTGAAATATAAAATATAGAACACTATCAATAACATCCAATTAGGAGATAAACTGGCTCTGTAAAGGAAGGCACAGCTTTGCATTTACAAGAATTGAGAGGGTTCAGAAAATGCCATTTTGGAGGGTTTTCATTCATGAGGTCACCATAAGTTGACTTGATGGCACATAACAACAGATGGATAACATGAATGCAAAATTTGATTTATCATACAGGTATCATGTAAGCTGACATATTTTCTTCCCTAAAGACATGAAAGGTCTTCCTTCCCCCTGTTATTCCTAGGGTGATCAAGATGACCGGTCTTTCAAGCAGTACAGGATATCAAGCCCTAGTTCTGCTGGCTCACTTGGCTATGGTCGTAACACCCCAACTAGCCATTCACCTCAGAACTGCAGCAGACCAGGTAACTGAGATGATGCCTTTAACTCTCATGCCTTTGGCCTATAGAAGGTGTTTTCTTTCTTTTCAGATATTGTTGCAGAGAGATAATTAAATTTTCTGGATCACTCTAGTATGTATTACAGAATGTCTTAAACTTTTCCAAAGACTGCCCATCTTCAAAGGGTTAAGCAAGCACATAGTGAAATCCATTCAGTGTACAGTCCATGCAATGTATCCTCATACAGTTCTTGCAGCATAATGCAGACATTTACATGCAAGACCCCCAAGCAGTGAGGGATCTCTGAAAGTTTTCTGGGAGTAGGAAATGTTGTGAAATTCTTCTTCCTTGACAGCAGCTCTCACTAAAGAAGATGGGGATTGCACCTCCTCCTTTTACATTGTTAATCCTCACTGGATTTAATACCATGACCCTAAGCCAAAAAGGTGCTAGAGATATGCACGCCTGGATTTATTGGGGAATTTCATGTAGTTATGTAGTTTGGAACTGATTTTGTTAGCCACCTAAGGTTTTTAAAAGATGGACAGAATATTTTTAAAATATTAAATATTTTCACCCTGCAGCAATATTTCTCCAACAAGGCACTATTCCTGCTAGGGTACAATATATGCACACATGTGTTTTGAAGGGGAAAATATTAGTGGCATTATTTCTATCTTTCCCAACTTCAGATTGGGAATCCACAGCAAAAATACCTGACACATATGCAGATTGGGCAATGGCCAACAGAACAACCTTAGCAGATGGACAGGCCCATTAAATCTCTTGTGCTTTTATAGAGCATTCTCTTACATCACAACAGCAGAATGGTGAACTGTTTAAACAAAATTTCTGTTGTGAAACTATGTTTAGAATGAGGATGTAACACCCAGTGCAGCTTTACTCTAACCAGTTGTTGGCATTTCACTGGCAGTGAAACTTGTTACTGATTGGATTTGTGACTCCAGTCGTGGTACTGGAATCGAGGGAACCGGAGTGTATGCAATTGGATTCTCTTTATGGCTGCAGAGCTTTAAAAGACCTACCAGAATAACTTGGTTCTTTATTTGTTTTATTTTTAATCTGCCCAATAATAAGCAGTATTTGGATGGTTTAAGAACAGATCAAGAGTAAAATACAGTACAAAAAGATAAGAGAATATGATACAATGCAAAATTACAAACAGCACAAGAATAGCTAAATATAAAGACATATGAGAACATCCATAAAATCCAAAACCAAGGTTCTTTTAGAAGCAGATATCCTGTGTTTACAGCATTTACTACCCCTTGGCCAACACTTCCTTGATTTCCACAATCTCCTTAGCTTGTCTTTGGGTAGTTTTCATTAAAGTTGCATCTACTTCAGAACAATTGTTCTTGTTCTGTCGCTAGTAGAGAGGCAAATTATTTCCTTATTCCTCGTCTTGGAGTCCTTTTTGAATATTAGCAAAATATTGGCCTAAGCTCCTTATCTTTTCTCTGAGCTAGAGATTTCACATTGTCTTCCTCCTTCCTTCACAGAATTTGCTTTTCACAGCTCTCCTCTCAATTCTTTCCAGCTTACAATACCATTTTAAAGAGATAGTGTAAGAGTGCAAATGAAGGTCCCAGCTCAAAATGTGGGTTCCATTTCCAGATGTAACTGAAAACGCAACTCAAAATGGTTCCATTTTGCCTTCCAGTCCCCATTGTTTTCTAGCTCTCTCTGCTGGATTCCCTACAAGTGCTTAAAAAGGCTTACCATGGGGAAGGTCTAATGGGCTTTGCTGGCTTTATCATAGAAACATAGAAACAGAGCGAGTCAGAAGGGACCTCCTGGGCCATCTAGTCAGACCTCCAGCACCAGCCTGCTCCGCTCACGACATGCCCACCATGTGGACGTCCAGCCTATCCTTGAACACCTGTGCTGATGGGGCCTCAACGACCTCTCATGGAAGCCCATTCCACACCTTCGGGGTCCTGACTGTCAGGAAGTGCTTCCTGGCATCCAAATGGAACCTTGGCTCCCTGAGCTTTGCTCCATTGGAGCGTGTCCTGCCTTCCTCTGCAGGGGAGAACAGATCTCTACCCATCTCCATGTGACATCCCCTCACATACCTGTATGTCGCCAAGAGATCCCCTTGGAGTCTCCTCTTCTCCAGGCTGAAGAGACCCAGTTCCCTCAGTCTCGCCTCATACGGCATCCCCTGCAAACCGGCCACCAACCTTGTGGCCCTATGCTGCGCTGACTCCAACCTGGCTATATCCTTTCTGTAATGAGGGGCCCAAAACTGAACACAATACTCCAGTTGTGGGCGCACCAGAGTCATATAGAGTGGTAGTAATACCTCTCTCAGTCTAGAAGCCACACTTCTGGCAATGCAACCAATGGTGGCGTTCACCCTCTTGACCACTGCTGACTCATGTTTAGCCTGCAATCAACCTGCACCCCAAGGTCTCTTTCACAAGTGCTCCTCTCCAACCACTTGTCCCCTAACCTGCACTTATGACACCCATTCCTATGCCCCAAGTGCAAGACCTTGCACTTATCCACATTGAACGCCATCCTGTTGTCTCCTGCCCACTTCCATAGTCTGTCCAGATCCTTTTGGATCTGGAGAACCTGCTCCTCAGTTGTGGCCACTGCTCCAGTTTTAGTGTCGTCTGTGAATTTGATCAGCAGACCGTTCACCCCTTCTTCCATGTCGTTAATGAAAAGATTAAACAGGATCGGCCCCAGGACAGAGCCCTGGGGGACCCTGCTTGTTACTGGCCACCATCCCGATGATTCCCCGCTAATGGTTACCTTCTGCTTTCGGTCAGTCAACCATGCCCTAATCCACTGGACAGTGCTTTGGTGTATCCCAAAACTCCACCAGGTTATCATGGGGCACTTTGTCAAAGGCCTTGCTGAAATCCAGGTATACCACATCCACTGCATCCCCTCCATCTAGCCATCTCGAAACCTTGTCATAGAATTCCACAAGGTTTGTCTGGCAGGACCTGTTTTTGCGGAAGCCGTGTTGTGTGGCTGTCAGCCTCCCTTCCCTATCTAGCATCACTAGATCTCTCTCTATTATGAGCCTTTCCATTGTTTTTCCTACAATGGACGTTGTATCAGGGAAGACCAGAAAGCAATCCTTGCTAGAAATTGCTGTCAAGTGGTCTGTTTCTGCTGGTGACCATGGAGCTTATGGGTTTCAAACTGTAAGCTCCATGCTCTGCAAGTTGTTTTTTGCTGGGGAGAAGACTAGTGGCCTTATGTAATAGGGAACCCTCCTCTTCACCTGTTCTCCACCCCCTTTTCTATGGAAAGTCTTTTTTGCTTGAGAAAGTTGTAGGAGGGAGACTGGTGCTATTATGGTTTTGGGGGCATTCCTGTTGAATAACCTTTCTGTATTTTTTGCACATTGGATAGGAACCTACAAATAAGTACAAATAGTTGGTGAAGAAAGTGGGGGCTTACCTGTTACCAGAGCCAGGGCAGCATAGTGGTTGGAATGGTGGGCTAGGCCTGGTGAGACTCAGGTCCAAATCCCTAGTCAGACATGTAGCCCGCTTGGGCCTCACAGCATAACCTCCTCATAGAATTGTGGGGATAAAAATGGGAGGGGTGAAACCATGTATTGAGCTGCTTGAAGGAAAATGGGATGTTATAAATAATAATTTTCAAACTGTAATCCTCCAAGATGAATCTTGTATGACAAATTACTGCTATAGAGGAAAGCATGGTAATTAAATGACTAATCCTGTGCACCTTATTCAAGGTGCATTTGCATGATTCAAAACCCAGGCTGGCAAAAAGCTATTCTGGGTTGGTTGTTTTGCAAAGTATCCACAATGAGCCTGACAGGCAACCAGGATTATGTGAGTTGTTGACTCCTCTCACCCCTGCTTTTCCTTTGTTCCTCCTGGGTTGTATTCCTGGGGGTACTGTGGAAAGGTGTGAGTCTCCTCTTGCTGGCAGCCATGATTGCAAACCAGTTTTGGGTCACCCTTGGTTGTCCTGTTAAATGCCCACCCTGGAGATGAGGAAAGTCCTGCTTGCTTTCACCTTCCCCTTAAGGGGCAGGCATGAGCTGCCCTTCACAGTGCCTTGTGGTACCTTAGAGGGGCTGCCTGTGCCTACCAACTATTATTATTATTATTATTATTATTATTATTATTATCATTATCATTATCATTATTATTATTATTATTATTATTATTTTGCACCCACAAATGTGTACAGAAATGTTATTATTTTGCCTAAGTGGTCCTGACTGTGCAATCAGAGCTCATTCCTTGAATCACAACTGGGACAAGTTCCAGAGTCAACTGAGACCATTTTCTGCAGCGAGTGCCTATTTCCCCGCTTGCAGAGGGCAATCCTCTGAATATCATTCCAGCCAAAGAGGAAAATCTCTACTCCACAGACCTTTTTTCAGTGGCTGCTCATTGAAAGCAAAGACATTAAAGAGTGTTTCCCCAAGAAGAAGCTATTTTTTAAATACCTCTTTCCCAGCAAAATCCTTATCTTTCTATGTTTTTGCTCTTTTTTCTCCATGGGAGAGCAATATTTTCCCTTTGTCCTCAACTTTTATGGACATGGTGAAGTGTCAAACTGCTGCCCCATCTTTTCAAAGGGAGGGGAAGAGGAACCACCAGACCATAGAACAGCCCATGGACATTGCAGGGTGGCTTGTTTAAAAACACTTGGGCACTTGTGAAGTAGCACTGGGAGTGGCCCAGAGGAGTTTGGCAAGAGTGACAAGCTATTTTTGCTGCTCTTCCCAGACCTTAAATGCACCCTCACCACTACATGTGTTTAAAACCAAACCAAACTCATCTGGTACCTGGGAACAGCTGTATGGCACATACTGTATTTAAAAAGTACGATGCTGTAATGGGGATGTACTCGATATGTTCCCAGTTCCAACTTTTAGCATGGAAGTGCTTTCTCAAAGATGGTGACGAGGAGGACTTTTCTAGCTACACAATGCAAAGTGAATACTGCTGTTTCTCCACATCCCATTTCAGTCAGTGGGAAGAAACTTATGCATTGTTTAGTAGGGCAGTTTTCTGGAAAGAAAAGGTGTCATTGCTGTGACTGTTTTGTAGCTTTCAGTAAGTGAAGGAGTTTATTTTCATTAACTTTCTATTGCCCCCTAGCTGGTACTCAGAGTCTTGGTACCAGTAGCTGCATCTCCCTGCCCCAACACAAAAGCCTTACATCTACATTCAGACATGATTACATCCCATTCTTCAAAGGTAAGGTTCAGGAATGCCATTTGTGATGTGGTAACTGTAGACTTCTCCAGATGTGTTTGGTGTTGTGTGTGCATGTCCCTCTAATGAGTACGTTTTTTCTTAACCTATGTGAGTACCTTCTTGATAGAAACTTTAGGTTTTTTTTTCTTTCATGGATACTGAATGATTACTGAAGGCAAAATTATCTAACTTTTAAAATGGAAATTTATTATTTCATTACTCATATTTTGGTAAAGCCAAGGTGTAAAGCCTGTGCAAATAATGAGTGGTGATAATATCAGCTATTTGCCAGGATTGTTATTGGTAATAGAGGAAGGTGTCAGTCTCAAGCATCAATAGCTATCATCCAGTGGTGGTGCAGAACTTTTCAGTTTATGAAAAGTTCTGGTTCAATTGTGTTTGATTCCTTGAGGTTCAGGCAAAGGATCAAGAGCTGCAATAGCAAACAGCCACTTTTAGAAGCCACTTTAGAATTTATAGAATCTAGAACACATTCTGCTAGACTGTAAAGAAAAGCAGGATGATGTTTCTTTGCTGACCAGCAGGAATGTAAAAGGGATTCCATTGTTTAGGCCAGGTCTAGGCTCCTGCAGATGTTATGGACTACAGCTCTCATCATGCACAGCCTACCAGCCAGTGGTAAGAATTTATGGGAAGGGTGGCTGAAAACTTCTGAAGTTCACCAGGTTGCCTACTTCTGATGTGGGCAATCTATCATAAAAATTCTAGCCTTTTCCTTGTCAAAAACATCTCTGTCAATTTGCTTCCCTTCCTAAGAGTAGCATGCTTTTCAGTGTGGAGTGTCTATACACTTGACTAGTGCTTTGTGCTGTCCTGCATGTTTATACACTATGGGACTATTTCCTACTGAACTGATGTTTGAGTTACGCCTTGCATTGCTCTTTCAGATGTTCAAGGCTACTTGCTGTTGCTATGGGAAAGACTTGTGATTCTCTACTGTGTTTAGAAAATAATCATCCAAGGGATGAATTCTGATTTGAAAGGGCAGTATCCAGCAGGCTAGATCTAACACACAGTTGACATAGCACTAGTGTAAGCTATCTCTAACACAACAGCAATCCTGTAAGCTGTACAAGTGGTTTTCCCGGAGAAACCAGTTACCTTGTACCTGGTAAACTGGTATAACTGGTATACAGTGCTGCTTCTAGCACAGCGTAAATTACATAAGCACCAATCTTTTCCAAAGTAATGATTCAACTAAAATGGAATGGTTTTGGCTACTTTTTAAAAAATTGCTGAATACTGGGTAACAGGATAGGAATGACATATGGCGGGGGTGGGCAGACTTCTGGCTAGCTTCTGGCTCTTTGTCTTTATCTAGAAATATGGGGTCAACTAACCAGAGTCAGCCACAAAATGCAGAACTTTCTGTATGTTTCTGTACGTTTGCATTTCAGTTTCCTCTGACTTCAGTGTGTGCAGTTCCATGCCCCCCACAACCCTTGTGTGATATGTATGCTTGGAACGCAGGATAATATTTATGCATTTCATGTGGCAGACATGAAAGCTTATGCTGTGATAAGTTTTTAGTCTCTAAGGTGCTACAAGGACCCCATAAAATAATGCTGCCTCAGATCTAACAGAGAATGTTCATTTGGTCCAGTTTAGGTGCAGAAGCCATACCAATGGTTCAAGACACCCCAGTGGGCAACTAGGCCAAGTCCAACAGGCAAACATCACCACAGACACAAATGTAAACTGAAAATGAAAAAGAAAGAAAATTAGTATGGTGGTTGTTAAATGAGAATAATTTGGATCTTTATTTACATATGCATTATCAACACTGACAGAGAATGTGACTGTCCTGGCTAGAGGGAGGTGGCACCAATGAGCAAAGAGCGAACTGTTTATCAATTGAATACAGGGGTTGTGGGTGGTGAGACCACTCATTTACCATTCAGAAGTGAAGTTTCCATTTATCTCACAACAACCTCATGTTTTATATTTAAGCATATTGGAGCCATCTCTGGCATTACCATTTAACAGGTAAATCTGAGGCTTTTATAAAACATAATTCAGGATCTGGACACATTTTCATAATCAATGTGTTCCTCCCCAATACATCTTCCTTGAACCTACTGTCTTCAGCTGTCATCTACACCATTTGCTACTCTTCTCAATCATTATTCATGTTTATTGCTATGTCTTCTGGGACCAAGAGGTATCAAGTAAGGACATTCTCAGAATCCCATATCAGTTCAGGTATACAACACAAGCTACTTAGGGTGCAGTCCTATGCATGTTTCAACCCAATATTCCCTACAGATCCCGGCACTCCATTTTCCCCTTTGGATTAGTGTCTGGGTATGTGTCTGCAGTCCTTTCTGTTGTTTGTCATCAGCAATTCTACAAGGTATAGCTGGCCATGTTGCTTTTGCCAAAAAGTCATTTGCACAAGGTAGTTACATCACTATCCAAAATTTTTCACCAAAGTCATGTTTTTAAGGTCCTAACTGGAGCTACTATAATGCCATAACATTAACTGGAATAAAAATTACAGTTTTAGGGTTGTCTTGCCCATACGTCAGGAATATAAGTCTGGGCCTTTAGGGCACCTTCTTCTGTTTCTCCCCCAAAGTGCTCATACTGGACCATTCAACCATTTCAAATCAAACTAGCCATCAGCAGTTTGAAGCAGCCTTTTCAATCTTCTCCCAGAAAATTTGTTTTACCCCTGCAGTGGCAGAGTTGACCAAAGACACTATTTAATCTCCAATGTTGACATGAGATTCAACTGCCAGTCCTGTTGATTTCTGAACATGGACCAACCTTGGATAGCAACTTGTCCCATGCCCAAGGCAGTAAAATGTTTTGAGTCAACCCTGTATGAATCCACCAGAAGCAACTCCCTTCCATTTCCTGGGGAAGCAAGGAGGGAGAGCTCTGAGCAGGAAGCAGCAACTGTGGGGACTGTGCTTGGATAGAGCTGGATACAGCAGAAAGATAGAACAGACATCAGGCCACTGTCCACTGGCAGGGGAGATTGAAAGCTTCTTGCTCAACCCCCCACCCCATCTGGTTGCTGAGAAGTGGGGGGATCTCAGTTGGAGTGTTCTGCTTCTATTTTTAGTTCTCATGCTTTGGGGGAATTAACAGGGAGGTGGCTGGGTAGGAAGGCTTAAACCTTCCCTTGCCCATGTGCATTGGTCCTTATGTGAATTGGGGCTCTTATGTATACTTGGAAGTAAAATAAAGAAGTAGAATAACCTACTTTTTACCAAGTTAAAACTCTTGTTAGTACCACAAAGCATGTCCAGGATTCATAGATGAACTGCAGTCTTATTGGCATTCTCTAGGAAAACTTCTGAGAATGTATGTGGTTATAAAATTGAAGTAGGGATTAGTCATAATTTATTATAAATTACAAGATTAAAGCAGATTCAATGGACAGCTGAATTCTGATACTATTTATTTAGAGCAATAGATGAGAGGAGATTGAAAAAGTTATCTTAATATAAGCTTCAGCAGTTCTGCTTTCAAACAGAAAATCCCAGTGAACTTTACTTCTAATATATCCATGCCTTTGAAATGTTTGTTTAGCTGTCAAATAAGGGGAAAAGAGATCAAGTTCTACCTATTGTCTAATTGGTAACAAACTACCAAGTCCAGATGATATTCATCTGAGTGTTCTTAAGGAATTCAAATGTGAAAAAGCTGGTCTTTTAACAGAAAGACGTAGCATATTTGTTTGTTCATTTATTAAATACATGTCCTGCCTTGCCTCCAAAATGGGCTCAAGGTGGCCTAAAATCAGCCTCAGTATCAAAGGACTGGAAAATGGCCTCTGTAATGCTATTTTTTAAGCATGCATGGCAGATCTAGATAATTACAAGTCAATTTGCTTAACATCTTTCCACCCACAGAATATCTTAAATTGGTGAAAAACATTATTAAACTTATCTTTTAGGGCACCTTCTTCTGTGTCTCCCCCAAACTGCTCATACTGGACCGTTCTAGCCTTATAGAAGGATAAGTCTTGCTGACAGTGAATCAGCAAGAAGGTGAATCAACACGGCTTTATGCCCACATAAGTGTCATCAAGCATGTGGATAGGGGTGATCAAGCAGGCATTGTTTACTTGAGCATTCCAAATGCTTTTGATAACATTCTTCACCAAAGCCTCCTAAGCAAGAGGAGAGGTCCCCTATGGGTTGATAACTTGTTAAAGAAAAGGAATAAATAGGATAAAGAAGGGGTTCTTGCAGTGGAGGGATATAAACAGTGGGTTCCCCTGAGAAGCTGTATCAAGACCACTGCTTTTTAACTTTTTATAAATTGGGGAGGCTCACAAAGTACTGAGGTGGCCAAATTTGCTGGCACCAAATTAAAACAAAAAGGGATTGTGAAAAGCCAGAGATGTCATTAAAATCGCAAATATGATTCAATTTGACAGTGATGCCCACTACAGCAAAAAAAATTAACTTCACACATATGCTGGTGTCAGTCTAAACTGCTAGTGACTGATTACGCATGGGATCCTTCAATTAGGGTGGTTAGCTCAATAAAAATGTGAACCTTGTTTTGTGGCAACTGTGGAAAAAGGCAAACTGCATGTTAGGGATCAATGGGAAACATTTCAGAAATAAAGTTGCCAATATCATAATGCATTTCTAAAACGATGATGTGGCCACACTTGTAGTGTGTACAGTTCTTGTCACTATACTCATTGGAGTCCTCAAGAAGATGTTCTAAAGAGCCACTAAAATGATCTTGGGGCTGGAGCAACTCCACTATGAGGAAAAGTTGCAACATTTATCTGGGTGGGGGGGGGGGAATGGGTGTCAAACTCCAATAAAGGCCTGTGATTCTAAAGCTTCCCTCTGCATCTGTGGGAAGGGGAGAAAGGGAAGTGACATGCTCCCAACACAGGGGGATCAGATATTTATAAAATGATATATGATGCAGAGAACATGGTAGGTATCTCATAATAGTAGAACCTGGGGTCATCCATTGAAGCTGGTTAGTAGGAGATCCAGGAC